CAGAGGGACCTGGGTGGCATGGCATGGCATGGCATGGCATGGCATGGCATGGCATGGCTTCCCTTCCCTTCCCTTCCCTTCCCTTCCCTTCCCTCCCCTCCCCTTCCCTTCCCTTCGGGGAAACCCGGCCCGGGCTGCCGGCCCCGGCCCCCGCCAGCAGCCACCTGCTTGAATCCCCCTCGTCAGATCCCCCCCGGGCTCCCCAGCCGGCGGGAGGAGTCAGGGCCGTGCCCCCTAAAAAATACAGAACGAGGAAGTGCAGGCTCATGCGAGATTTTTGTCTTCTAAAAAGTGTTTACGTGCTGGCTAGAGGCGCCTCCGGCGTGTCCTGCCGATGCTGCTGTATGCCCTGCACCAGCACAGGGCTTGGAGGAAGAGTACGTAAGGGGCCCCGCGGATGGCTGTGGGGCAGGGCCTTACGACAGGTAGATTACCGCACGCCTGCGCGGGGTTATCTTCACGTGAACGGACAGCGCGGTCAGCAAACCCCATGCTGGCGTGAGCTGGTCACAAGTAGTGGGGAGGAAGGACTGCTGGCAGCTGTCGGGCAGGAACGCGATTCCATGGATACTTCTGAGTGCCTGGATGAGTCATGGGGGCTTTATACCCAACTTGGAGATAGCCAAGACAGACTAGTGCTCGTGACAAGGTGTCCGGCCGGAGGGACAGCTTTTCCACTCCAGCAGGAGAGCGCTCGTGTGTCTCCGCAGAACCCGACGGTTGCACGAGATGCTTTCGTCAGTGTAAAGCTCGGGCTCTGTACATACTACCGTTTTTCCCTCTTCTCTCCTCAAAGCTGCCAGATGGACAGGGACAGCTTACGCCGCTTCTCAGAGCTGCTGAGTTTTAATCAGGTAGAGAAGGACAATGCGTCGCGCGCACAACGTTGCCATTTTTTGCTCATTCAGTAGTATACAAAAAGAAAGGCGGGGGTGCACCTGTGCAGTGCACCTTTGTGGAGGATTGGATTATTACATTCATGCATGGCTTGTCCTCCTGCAGTTAAGATGGGAATATCCTATTGTGTTCAGTTCTTCTTTACAATGTGACCAGGAAAGAAATAAAACTAATGCATAGAATTTGCACCCTGTAGCTTGCAGATGTAATCAGAACAATAAATGACACCAATGGTCTAAGCACACACAACAGAGAAAGCACCTTTAACAGTCTCCCTTGCTCATTCACTCTGCAGGGACCGGTATCGGGGTAGGCCTTTGGTGCTGCCCTTCCTTTTGCTAGCGGTGTAACGAATGAAATTCAGGTCCCGGTGGAAATCCAGGATGATCCCACGCAAATTGATTTTTCTTTCTGAATTTACATTAGTGCTGTCCTCACTACACCACTGAAAAACACTCTGAAGTCGCAAGCTGGCAGATATCCTCTGGGGAGCCCGAGCCCCTCCCCGGGACGGGCATCCCAGACCATCAAGCCGCACGTCCAGAGGGGCCTGCGCGATGCTGAGGGAAACCCAGGGCCCTCTGCCCCAAACACAGCGCCCGCGGAGCGGGGGCCTGGCTGACTCTGCTCCGGGCGGACCCAGGGAGCGGAGCACTGCGTGCTCAGCGCCCTGCGACCGATCGGGGTGGCTC